TAGATCAATATTATGTAAAAAGCTCAATTTTGGTCAGATGACCCCAGAGGTGGTTTTTGCTGTGAAACGTCCCATATGGGGCATTGGGGTGTTACACATTAGTATAAACACAAACATAATTGACCACATATATATATATACAACATATTTTTATCCCTTAATTCGTGATACGTGATAGAAGTAGATAAAATTCTGAAAATTAATTAGTAAATTATGGGGATTATCACTATCAAATGGTTACAATTGACCAACTTCCGAATTTTTTCTACCAGCATACATGATAAATATTACACAGAATATTAAATAATATGATGCAAAAAATCTCAACCATTATTTTGACATATTTTTTATTATTGTTTTCTTTACAAGTTTTTGACTTTACTACTTAGCAACCCTGGATTTCAGAAAATGTGGCGCAGTATGCACTTCTATCATGGATCACGAATTAAACATTTTTTTGGCTATTCATAGCTGAAAATTTTTTTTCTGTTATAAAAAACTTTTTCTGAAGGTATTACTTCCTAATACAAAAATGATTTTTGAGATTCAGCTGATTGATCTTTGAATAAAAATTTGGTTGTTGTCCTTGTGGTTTTTGTAAAATCTTCCTTAAAAGTTGGTCGATTGACTATTTTTACTTTACAAATTGTTAAATTGGTCAATAACATGATCAAAAATTATTTTGTGTTACTACTAAAGAATACTTTGACTGTTTAAGGGATAATAACAAATCGAATTATTTATCATAATAGGATATTTTAATTATGTTTCTTAAATGAACTTGAAAAAACAGATCATTTTCATTCAAAAATAATCATCTTAGGTTATATGGGGCATACTGCAACAAAACCAGACAAAGTGAACATTGGTATTACCAAAATTTCAGGGATCAAAATTTAGTTATTATCATACATTTAGTTTTATAATGTCTCATTTGTTAAGTGATATATATAGAATTATCCCTATATAAAAAATAATTAATATGAAATTAATATACATCAGATCTACTATGGAACCCAAGAATTATAGTACAATCAGAAGTATTTTGAAGAAAGAACAAGGTGAAAAAATTGCTCCATACATTTTCAAAATAAATGATACCCGGGCACTGGAAGCTTATCTAAGGAAAGAAAGGATTACTTATGAAATTTATCAAGAAGAAAGGAAAATAATAAATGTTGTAAAAAGAAAGCAGAATGAAAGTGTACCATTACCCAACAAAAAGCAGAAATCCTTAGAAGGAAAATAATTTTATTATTACAATATTGATTTATTTTCTTTTACTGACTATTACTACAAAGAAAATTCACCTTTATGCAAACGTAATTAATGATCATCATATTGCATTGCTTATTGGGGTTGGTCACAATGGTTGATCATCAAACATAGTTCAGGTCAATATAGAAAATTACTATGTGCGGATTTTTTAATGTTACACATATATATCATCAAAACATTATAGTAAATAATCGAAGATTTATTTAAACTTTTAAATGTAAAGGCTTGATAACCAAGCAAGCTGTTGGAATAATCCTTCCGTGATTGTATTTGAATATGCTCAATTAAGGGCCCGTCAGAGAGTTTTTTCATTTATATTAGTAAAAAAAATTTTTGTAAAGGTTCAAAGTTATCAATTTTATTGATTTTACACTATAAAAAATGGAAATTTATTTAAACTTTAAAACGTAAAGGCTCAATAACCAAGCAAGCTGTTGGAATAATCCTTCCGCAATTGTATTTGCAGATGCTCGATTAAGGGCCTATCAGAGAGTTTTTTTTATTTATATTAGTAAAAATTTTTTTTGTAAAGGTTCAAAGTTGTCATTTTACTATAAACAATGGAAATTTAGATAAATTTCAAAATCTAAAGGTTCAATAACCAAACTAGCTGTGTGAATAATCTTTCCGCGATTATATTTCCAAACACACAGTTAATAACCGATCAAAGAGTTTTTTTCATTTATATTAGTAAAAAAATTTTGTGAAGGTTCAAAGTTATCAATTTTGTTGATTTTACTATTAATGATGGAAATTTAGATAAACTTTAAAACATAAAGGCTCAATAACCAAACTAGCTGTGAGAATAACCCTTCCGCGATTTTGTTTAAAAACACCCAATTAATGACTGGTCAGAGAGTTTTTTT